AGAGAGGGGAGGGCCTAAGATCACACAGCGAGATAGCCCCTGAGCCTCCTGGCTCCTGATCTAACACTCCATGAGTAGCCAATCCCCTCTCCCTCTCTGGACCTCAGTTTACCCATTTGTAGCTTTAGCTACTAGGGACCAGGGAGCCAGCGGCAAGGCGGTTTCTAAGGTCTCTTGAGGAACTCTGATGCCCGGAGTCCCAGTCCAGGGCACCGTGAGTGGGGCTGGGACAGCCCTGTGCATCTTCCCTTTCCCGACTCTCCTGTATCCTCACCTGGGATCAGCTCTGCTCGGTTCATACACGCATGGACAGGGAGGGAAGGGCCTTTGTACTGAGCCCTGCCTGGCTGCAGGTCCAGTGACAGTGTCATGCAGTGGCCTTGTCCTCCCCACTGAATAGAAGAGAAAACTGAGGCTCAGAAAGGCGCGATGACCTGCCCAGAGCCACGGGTGGCTGAGCCGGGATTTGAACCCAGGCCCGTCTCACTCCAACTCCGTGCACTTCCCAGCACATGGTGCTGCCTCTCTGGGTGTCTGGAGGGACACTGCTCCTTGGGGGTGTGTCTTGGGGCCCACCTGGTCAGGCTGCCGAGGTGGTCACCAGGAATTCCTGCTCCTTTTCCCCGTCCTCGGCAATTAGCCAGCGGGCCCTGCCGGGCTGAGGGAAACTGGTTCCACTCTGGTGACTTGCTCCGATGCTCAGATGTAAGAGGCCATGTCGATGGGCACTGCTTTGGCTCAAGACTGTGCCCACGTCTGGGGGGCCACTGTCAGTGTCCTCCTGCCCAGCTAGGAGACATAGCTGCCCTTGTTTCTGGCAGCAAGTCTGGGCTGCAGCCTGAGAAGTGTGTTTTCAAGGGCATAGTGTCCTTTGCCGCCCCAAACCCCCTCCGTGTGTGCCCAACTCTGTGGGCTGCCTTGCTCCTCCCTGAAGCACCCTCCAGGGAAGGATGGCTCGCTCATTGCACAGATGAGGAAACCGAGGCACAGAGAGGTGAATGTGGGGTGCCCAAGGCCAGGATTTGGCCCTCTGCCTTCCCCACGGGCTGCACTGGGGGGCCTTTGGCAAGGAGTTTGCTGAGTGGGCACACACTGGCGAAACAGCCCGGCCAGCACAGCTGAAGTCTGTGGTCTGCTCTGTCTGCGGCCTCATGTGCAGATCTCAGTGGCCCTGATTCGCCGCTCCTTTGCCTCTGAGCGTGTCCAGGGATCCTCCTCACCTTGGCCCTGCTCTCTGGCTTCTCCCTCCTGCCCCCTCCCAGAGCACCTGTGCCGGACCCGGCCCACGGACCTGGTGTTCGTTGTGGACAGCTCCCGCAGCGTGCGGCCTGTAGAATTTGAGAAGGTGAAGGTGTTCCTGTCCCAGGTCATCGAGTCGCTGGATGTGGGGCCCAATGCCACCCGGGTGGGCGTGGTCAACTACGCCAGCGCCGTGAAGCAGGAGTTCCCGCTGCGGGCCTACGGTTCCAAGGCCGCGCTGCTGCAGGCTGTGCGCCGCATCCAGCCGCTGTCCACGGGCACCATGACTGGTCTGGCCATCCAGTTCGCCATCACCAAGGCCCTCAGCGATGCGGAGGGCGGTCGCGCCAGATCCCCCCACATCAGCAAGGTATGTGCACCGCGCCGTGGGAAGTCTGGAAGCTGGGTGGCAGGGGACCAGCAGGGACTAAAGGGGACAGTGGGCCTCAGAGAATGTGGCAGCATGGGGCAGTGAACAGTCACGCTAGGTTTTCAGTGCCAGGCGCCCAGGCCCCTGGGGGGAAGAGATCATGCAAGATCACCTCCCGGGGAGTCCAGGGTAATGACGCTGAAAATAACAGTTGCCCCTTCCTGGCTTCTCACCGAGAGTGATCTCCACTCTCGCTCCACCTCACCCCAGCACCTTCTTACAGACGAGGACAGTGCGGCTCAGCAAGGTGAGCTATAACTTGTGCAGCGGCACTGACGACCCAGGCCCGTCTTAACTGGGGCCGCCAAGAGAGCGGGCCAGGCCCTGGGGCTAAGCACAGGGACCCAGATCAGAAGCAGAGAAGCAGCACAGGGGGCTGGGTGCCTAGCCCGGACTGGACGGAGCCGGGAGGACCCTGACCCTGGCCTCAGGGCAGGTGGAGGCAGTGGGTGGTGACGCGGGAGCTCAGCGCCAGGGTCCCTCTCTCCCTCTTTCTGGGGTACAGACCAGAGGAGCGGCGTGGGAGGGGAGCAGGCACGTTCTTTCCCTGGCAGGGGCATGGATCATGCTGGAGAGTGGAGGAAGAGAAGGGCGGCAT